CTTTCTCTCGCCCATTTTTTTTTCTCCATCTCTCTTCCAGTTCTCTCCTGTCGTTTCATCTTTTTACACCTTTTCCATCCCCTCTTTCCATCTCTCCATCACTTTTACTCCCTTCCATCATCGTCCCTTTCTTTCATCCTCCTCCTTCCTTTCCATCCCCCTTCTCTCTTTTCCATCCCCCTTCCCTCTTTTCCATGTCCTCTCTCTTCCATTCCCGTCTGTTCAGTCCTTTCTCTTTCTTTCTTCATGTTCCATTCACAATGCAATTATAGGTAAATATCCGTTCTCGATATTCTCGTATTCGTTATTATGTAGTTTAAATAGCATGACTTTCTTGGATGATGGCCAATCAAAAAGAATTTGACATAACGAGGGTGGGACTTAAGTCTCCGCCCATTTAGTAAGCATTGACTAATCAGCGCAGTTCTTATTAGTGTTTGTACATCCATAAACTCCACTTACTTTATCAGTATCAACCAATAAATGCGGGATTTATATAAGCAAGCACCTCCTACCGCTTAGGCAGCGACAAATGAATGCCGTGCCTCCCAGTGTTTACATCGCTAAGCTCCGCCTACTACTCACGCAGCAACCAATAAATACCGCGCATCCCAGTGTTTACATCGCTAAGCTCCGCCTACTACTCACGCAGCAACCAATAAATACCGGGCATCCCAGTGTTTACATCGCTAAGCTCCGCCTACTACTCACGCAGCAACCAATAAATACCGGGCATCCCAGTGTTTACATCGCTAAACTCCTCCTATTAATCACGCAGCAACCAATAAATACTGCGCATCCCAGTGTTTACATCTCTAAGCTCCGCCTACTACCTGTATATCAACCAGTCAGGAAAGAACATTACGCCTACAGTATATACCCACCAATCAAAAGAGCTTTTACATGAACTAAGGTCCGCCCACTTCCCCCAGAGGGACCAGTAAACACAGCTGTTATATGAGAATGTTTGGACAAGTGACTTCCTCCTCTCAGTAAACAAGGATCAGTCATAGCAGCTCTTACATTAAGATGTTGACGTATGGAGTCTTAGCCCCGCCCACATCTTAAGTAGGGACCTCTCAACATATTTGTTAGGTAAACAGGTTTAAATATTCAATAAAGTTTGGTGATTCTCACGTGAGAGAAAGAGAGAGAGCGATTGAAAGTGCATAATTACACCTTATGTCAACTCCCTCCTCCCCCTTTCCTCTTCCCTCGTTGTCTCTGTTCCTGTCCCCTCTCTTATCCTTCCCCTCATCCACCTTGCTTGTCCCTTCCCTTCCCCTTCCCCTTCCCCTTCCCCTTCCCCTCTCCTGGGTATGTTATTAACACACACACATACACACAGCTTCCACCACTCGTATAAAAATAAAAAGATGTGTTTATTGTAGTTGTCGTATGTGAGGGACTGTCTTCTGTTATGTCGGTCCGTCGTCGGTCGGTCGGTCGGTCGGTCGGTCGGTCGGTCGGTCGGTCCGTCGGTCGGTCGGTCGGTCGGTCCGTCGGTCGGTCGGTCGGTCGGTCGGTCGGTCGATCGGTCGGTCCATTAAGAAGCGGATAGGTCAGGTAGCAAGTGCTATTTCCATGTCATATCTTAAACCTGCTTTATTTCTCTCTCTCTCTCTCTCTCTCTCTCTCTCTCTCTCTCTCTCTCTCTCTCTCTCTCTCTCTCTCTCTCTCTCTCTCTCTCTCTATGAGGAAGTTGCCAGCAAAGTTGGTTTTGCCCCTTAAGTGAGGGAGAGCAGAGGGAGAACTCGGGAAGAAGAGGAGAAGAGAGGAGAGGAAAAAACTTATGAGAACCTTTCTGAAGGAATAACGGGTAGGTGAGGAGACGAGGAGAGGGAGAGGACAAAGAGAGAGAGAGTGGGGAGGAGAAGAAGAGGAGACAAAAGGAAGAGTAAAGGAGGAGAGAGAGAAACAAGAGGAGAGAGAACAGTTGTCCACCTTGTCGTGAGTAGTTGATCCGGCTGCTAATTACACATATCCAAATCCTAATGATCCCTCTTTTCTCTCTCTCTCTCTCCCTCTCCATCCCTTACTTCGCTCCTGTTCTTGGAAGAAGACCAGAACGCAGATGTGATTTACACAGATTTTGCAAAGGCGTTTGACAAATGTGATCATGGAGTGAGAGCGCACAAAATGAAGGCCATGGGCATGACGGGGAAGGTAGGTAGATGGATTTTTGGGTTCCTAACACACACAACACAGAAAGTAGTAGTGAAAATGGCAAGATCCAGCATCAGCGAGGTCAAAAGCTCAGTGCCCCAAGGCACTGTCCTGGCACCTCTGCTGTTTCTCATCCTCATAGCAGACATAGATAAAAACACCCGGCACACTTTTGTATCATTTTCAGATGACACTAAGATAAGCATGAAAGTCACTACGGTAGAGGACACGGAATAAGTACAGGAAGACATAAACAGGGTTTTCCAGTGGGCAGCGGAGAACAAAATGATGTTCAATGGTGATAAGTTCCAGCTGCTTAGGTATGGAAAGAATGAAGAACTCAAAAGGAACACTATATACAAAACTCAAGAGAGTCACCAAATAGATGGAAAGGAACACGTAAAAGACCTGGGAATAATTATGTCAGTGGACTTTTCTTTTAAGGAACATAAGACAAAGATCACGACAGCCAGGAAGATGACTGGATGGGTATTGAGAACTTTCAAAACAAGGGAAATAATGCCGATGATGACACTCTTCAAATCGCTAGTGCTCCCTCACTTAGAATATTGCTCAGTGCTGACGGCCCCGTTCAGGGCAGGAGAAATATCAGAGCTGGAACAAATACAAAGATCGTTTACGGCTCACATTGAGCCAGTAAAGCACCTAAACTACTGGGAACACCTTCAAGTCTTGAACATGTACACCCTGGAGCAAAGGAGAGAGAGATACATGATAATATATACCTGGAAGTACTCGAGGGCCTGGTCCTAAATCTGCACTCTGCCATAACAACATACTGGAGTGAGAGATATGGGAGGAAGTGTAAAATAAACCCAGTGAGGAGCAGGGGTGCGGTGGGGACAACAAGGGAACACTGTATCAACATCCGGGGTCCCAGACTATTCAACATCTTACCAAAAGATATCAGAAACACTGCTGGAACAAGTGTAGAAGCCTTCAAGAGGAAACTGAACAAGTATCTTCACCAGGTGCCAGATCAACCAGGCTGTCATGGATATGTGAGGCAGCGGGCCTCCAGCAGTAACAGCCTGGTTGATCAAGCAAGCACCAGACAAGTCTGGCCCATGGCCGGGCTCCGAGAGTAGTTAAACTCTCGAAACTTTTCAAAGGTATATCAAAGCTATATCACTAGCTCCTTCTCTCGTCTTTCTCCACCAGAGTGAGTATGGAGGGAGCAGTAACGTCTCAGTATTACATTAATTACGATGTTTAAGTGGTGTTCCTGGAAGTGTAATGTGACCTCTCACTTGATCTTCTAGTGGTCTTGTTTTGGTCTAGTAGTGGTCTTGTTTTGGTCTCATTGTGGCCTTATCTTGACCTTGCAGACCATTTTGAGCTTCTGCATGTGTTCCATATGTGTGTGTGTGTGTGTGTGTGTGTGTGTGTGTGTGTGTGTGTGTGTGTGTGTGTGTGTGTGCGCGTATGTGTGTGCGTGTGTGTGTGTGTGTGTGTGTGTGTGTGTGTGTGTGTGTGTGTTGTGTGTGTGTTGTGGTGTGTGTGTGTGTGTTGTGTTGTGTGTATGTGTTGTGTGTGTGTGTGTGTGTGTGTGTGTGTGTGTGTGATTGTGTATGTTGTTGTTGTGTGTGTGTGTGTGTTGTGTGTGGTGTTTGTGGTTTGTGTGTGTGTGGTGTTGTGTGTGGTGTGTGTGTGTGTTGTGTGTGTGTGTGTGTGTGTGTGTGTTGTGTGTGTGTGTGTGTGTGTGTGTGTGTTGTGTGTGTGTGTGTGTGTGTGTGTTTTGTGTGTGTGTGTGGTGTGTGGTGTTGTGTTGTATGTGTGTGTGTGGTGTGTGTGTGTGTGTGTGTGTGTGTGTGTGTGTGTGTGTGTGTGTGTGTGTGTGTTGTGCGCTCACAAACACTTTCGTGCTAAGAAAAGACAGCAAGCACACAGTGCCTGGGAATATTTCTTCGCCTCCAGCAAGCAAAGTTTAGATCTTTCCGCAGGAAGATGAGGAAGAGAGATTGTAACTAAGAGACATTGTAACTAAGAGAGATTGTAACTAAGAGAGATTGTAACTAAGAGACATTGTAACTAAGAGAGATTGTAACTAAGAGAGATTGTAACTAAGAGACATTGTAACTAAGAGAGATTGTAACTAAGAGACATTGTAACTAAGAGGATTGTAACTAAGAGACATTGTAACTAAGAGAGATTGTAACTAAGAGACATTGTAACTAAGAGAGATTGTAACTAAGAGACATTGTAACTAAGAGAGATTGTAACTAAGAGAGATTGTAACTAAGAGACATTGTAACTAAGAGAGATTGTAACTAAGAGAGATTGTAACTAAGAGACATTGTAACTAAGAGAGATTGTAACTAAGAGAGATTGTAACTAACAATTTTCTACCGCCTCGTAATGTCTTACAGTCACATTCTTCTACCATCTTAGTAAGTGTATTTAAGCACAGGTACACATAAGAAATATTATCATAGTGTAAATTACATAGAGTAACTCCAAGAAAAAGGTCAGACAAAGTGACTTATTTCCACTGGGGTCCTGTTTTATTTAAACAAATACAGGCGTTACCTGTCTGTGCCTTCGTCAACACTGTTGTCACAGGCTATCACTCGGTGCTCTCTGCACTTGATCACGAATAACATTTATTTCCCAGACTTTGAAAACCTAAAAAAATAAAAAATTGTGTTTTGAAGGCAATTTTTGTCTCGAATTTAAACAAAAAAGCGAGACTTTGCTCCGAGTTTGAAGGGAAAAAAACATTTCGAAATTTTAGATGGTTGCTGGCGAGGTACAGAGTTGTGTGTGTAGCTGCAAGTGAAGGAAGGTGATAAAGGAAGGAGGAGGAGGAGGAGGAGGAGGAGATGATGATGATGGTGGGAGCAGGGAACAGGGAGCAGCAAGAACAGCAACATAAGCAGCAGCAGAAAGTGAAGCAGAGGAAGCCATACAAAGCAGGAGGAGCAGCAGAGAGCAGCGCCCTGCTTCACGGGCCTCACCCAGAGATGGCTTACATTGATGACGGTAGTGCCCCCGCTGCTCTCGTGGGCGGCATGGGCGTGCCAGTCATCATGGTGGGCGGTGTGGGTGTGCCAACCACCATGGTGGAGGGCTTGGGTCTGCTGGAGAACGGTGTGGCACTGACGGGCGGGGCCACCCCAGCCTACACCCTGGATGCTCACCCACCGCCCACTGTCAAGTTCCAAGTGGCAAGGTGTGCAACACCCACGCCACCCACGCCCACACTCACACCCGCGCCTGCTGCACCCACGCTATCTGTTGGTGAGTACCTCATGAGTGTTCTCTTTCCCCTCCACCCATTTTTACTCACCTCCACCCATTCTTACTCTCTCACCTCTCTCCTCCTCAACTTACTTTTTCTCTCTTCCCTTTCCTCTTTTCCTTGCTCTGTTTCTCTCCCTCACTTTTCCTTGTTCTTACGATCCATCGTCTCCCTATCCTTCCTTTCTATTTTCCCCTCCTTCCCCTCTCTCATCCTCTCATGTATTCCTCTCTCTCTCTCTCTCTTCTCTCTCTCTCTCTCTCTCTCTCTCTCTCTCTCTCTCTCTCTCTCTCTCTCTCTCTCTCTCTCTCTCTCTCTCTCCTCCCCTCTCCTCTCCTCACCTTTCCTTTCCTTGTTGCTGGCCTGGTCAACCAGGCTGTTACTGTTAGCGGCCGCTGGTCCACACATCCATCACAGCCTGGTTGATTTGTGGCACTTAGCAGAGGCAGTGATTCAGTGTCCTGAAAGTTGTGTCCTCGTTCCATCTAACTAGTTTTTAGTGTGTTGAGGTGGAGTCTTGGACCAAGCATGTTGACACAGTGTTCTCTTATTGTGCCCACGGCGCCCCCTGCTTATCTCTGGATCCATTGTACACCTACTTCCATCTCTCTCAGTAAGACACATGTGGGACAGTTGGGTATATTTATTGTTGAAACGTTTCGCCTACACAGTAGACTTCTTCAGTCAGATACAGAGGCAGCAGTGTAGTAGTGAAATGATGATGTAATCAGTCCGTTAGCCTTGGAGAAAAAGTATTTGAGGCAGTCAGTCCCTCAGCCTGGAATGATATCATTCCAGACGAGGGCTGAGCTCTTCTCCAGGCTGAGGGACTGACCTCCTTAAATACTATTTCTTCTCCAGGTTGATGGACTAATTACATCATCTTCATTTCACCACTACACTGCTGCCTCTGTATTTGACTGAAGAAGTCTACTGTGTAGACGAAACGTTTCAACAATGAAGATCCCCAACTGTTGTACATGTGTCTTAATCGTCAAATTAGTCTGTATTTTATACCATCTTCAAAATACCTGAAGTATACCTGTGTGTTATGGTAATGTGTAGCTCTGGGGCCAGACACTTTAATATGTTCCAGGTATACACAAGTAACCGACACACGGGAGAAAATTACGACGACTCTTCGGCCCGACGTCGACCATTTAACTAGTCCCACTGTGTGACTAGTTCATAGTCCAAGTCTGAGCGAAACATCGTGGTAAGCTCCTCTCTCTGTGTGCGGGTTAATTGTATATTGATCCAATTACGGTATTGTGCCTTTTTATTCTGCCAATTATACATTATCAGGTATCTCTCTCTTCATCATCCAGAGAGTATATTCCAAGTACCTTGAGGTGCTCCAGTAGCTTTAAATTTGTGTCTGTGGAGGCAGTACACGATCTCTCTACATTTCCCAGCTCTGATATCTCTTCTGTCCTCACTGATGCGACCTTACAGCAACTTTACAGACGTGAGATCATAAGGGGGTTTGAACAGCAGTAATATTGATAGTTGTGCAAGACAGGTATACAATACCGACAAGATGAAAGTTAAGACACTTGTGCAACATCTGGGTATCTCTATTGTAAACGTTTCGCCATCCAGTGGCTTTATCAATACAAACTCTTGGACATAATTAGAAAACAGAAGAACTATATACAAAAGATGAGGTAATCAGTCCCTCAGCCTTGGAGGTGGTGTTTACAACACCGTGGTTGTAGAGATTCTGAAGCACAGGTAAGGAGACTGGCGCTTATATAGGCGTCAGTGAAGAGAGACGGGTAGCAGACGAGGGCATAGTCACTGGTAGGCGGGATTCCCCGCCTACCAATGACTATGCCCTATGTAGAGGACATCTACATGACCTTCTTCACGACTTCTACAACTAGCCCATCAATTTGGGAAGGACCTACTTCCACTGGGGAATCCCGCCTACCAGTGACTATGCCCTCGTCTGCTACCCGTCTCTCTTCACTGACGCCTATATAAGCGCCAGTCTCCTTACCTGTGCTTCAGAATCTCTACAACCACGGTGTTGTAAACACCACCTCCAAGGCTGAGGGACTGATTACCTCATCTTTTGTATATAGTTCTTCTGTTTTCTAATTATGTCCAAGAGTTTGTATTGATAAAGCCACTGGATGGCGAAACGTTTACAATAAAGATACCCAGATGTTGCACAAGTGTCTTAACTTTCAGTAATATTGATAGTGCTTACTTTCTTGTGAAAAGTTCTCATTGTCCACTCTGCATTCTCTATGGCTGCGTTTGCCTTATACTAATATAATAATAATAATATATATAATAATAATAATAATAATAATTCTTTATTCTACATATCATGTACAAGGTAATACACCGAATAGTGGCATCGGTTACATATACTAATAGAATGCCGCTATTCCAGATTTCGGGATATTAGGTCCAATTTTATCCCAGATGCACCACATTGCATTTCTTAACATTCTAATACCAAGTACAGTGTTAATCTCGTTAATCGTATCACTGATACTAGAAACAGCAAGGTACTTGGTATCTCTGGTATCAGTGATAGTATACTACCAAGGTTCTTAATATAAGGTGCTTGGTATCTCCAGTATCAGTCATAGTATACTACCAAGGTTCTTAATATAAGGTGCTTGGTATCTCTAGTATCAGTGATAGTATACTACCAAGGTTCTTAATATAAGGTGCTTGGTATCTCCAGTATCAGTGATAGTATACTACCAAGGTTCTTAATACAAGGGTCTTGGTACCTCTATTATCAGTGATAGTATACTACCAAGGTTCTAATATAAGGTGCTTGGTATCTAGTATCAGTGATAGTATACTACCAAGGTTCTTAATATAAAGGTGCTTGGGTATCTCTGTATCAGTGATAGTATACTACCAAGGTTCTTAATATAAGGTGCTTGGTGGTATCTCCAGTATCAGTGATTAGTATTCTACCAAGGTTCTTAATATAAGGTGCTTGGTATCTCCAGTATCAGTGATAGTATACTACCAAGGTTCTTAATATAAGGTGCTTGGTACCACTAGTATCAGTGATAGTATACTACCAAGGTTCTTAATACAAGGTGCTTGGTACCTATAATATCAGTGATAGTATACTACCAAGGTTCTTAATACAAGGTGCTTGGTACCTATAATATCAGTGATAGTATACTACCAAGGTTCTTAATAAAGGTGCTTGGTACCTATAATATTCAGTGATAGTATACTACCAAGGTTCTTAATATAAGGTGCTTGGTACCTTAATATCAGTGATAGTATACTACCAAGGTTCTTAATACAAGGTGCTTGGTACCTATAATATCAGTGATAGTATACTACCAAGGTTCTTAATATAAGGTGCTTGGTATCTCTGGTATCAGTGATAGTATACTACCAAGGTTCTTAATACAAGGTGCTTGGTACCTATAATATCAGTGATAGTATACTACCAAGGTTTCTAATTATAAGGTGCTTGGTATCTTGTATCAGTGATAGTATACTACCAAGGTTCTTAATATAAGTGCTTGGTACCTATAGTATCAGTGATAGTATACTACCAAGTTCTTAATATAAGGTGTATGGTATCTCAGTATCAGTGATAGTATACTACCAAGGTTCTTAATATAAGGTGGTTGGTATCTCCAGTATCAGTGATAGTATACTACCAAGGTCTTAATATAAGGTGTTGGTATCTCCAGTATCAGTGATAGTATACTACCAAGGTTCTTAATATAAGGTGCTTGGTATCTCCAGTATCAGTGATAGTATCTTACCAAGGTTCTTAATATAAGAAGGTGTTGGTATCTCTAGTATCAGTGATAGTATACTACCAACGGTTCTTAATATAAGGTGCTTGGTACCACTAACTATCAGTGATAGATAACTACCAAATTCTTAATATAAGGTGGTTGTACTCTAGTATCAGTGATGTATACAAAAGCAAGGTTATTAATATAAGGTGCTTTGTACCAATGTATCAGTGATTGTATACTACAAGGTTCTTATATAAGGTGGTGGTATCTCCAGTATCAGTGATATTTATACTACAAGGTTTCTAATATAAGGTGGTTGGTATCTCTAGTATCAGTGATAGTATTACAAGGTTCTAATATAGGTGGTTGGTATCTCTAGTACAGGATAGTTACTACCAAGGTTCTTAATTAAGGTGCTCTTGTATTCTCCTAGTATCAGTGATAGTATACTACCAGGTTTTAATTACAGGTGGTTGTGGCTCTCAGTTAGTGATAGTTACTACCAGGTTCTTATATAGGGTGGTATCTCCAGTCAGTGATAGTATACTACCAGGCTATCTTAATATAAGGTGTTCTGTCCACTAGTATCGTGATAGATTATTGAGATTAACACTGAACTTGGTATTAGAAGCTTAGAAGAACAGATCTGTCACTTAAATCTTACTAATGTCTAGAATGTAATTAGACATAGATCTAAAATGTGTTGTGAAAATGAATTATATTGATTTTAACTACAAGAATGTATCACTGTAGACAACAGAACATTGTACCCTCCATGGAAGATTGTTTGATTTAATATCACATCCTGTAACTCCCCCAAGGAAGTCATCACTAGTAAGAGGATGGATTGTAAAGACTGCTATATGGGCCAACAGGCCTGCTGCAGTGTTCCCCTCTCTTATGTTCTTATACCTTCCTTAAATCACTTGATATCAACTACAGAAGAAATTTGGCTTAAGGTGATTCCTAATAATTTACCGCCAGTTAGACACTGATGGATCTAAGAAGAGTGTACTGGCAGGGCTGCATCTGCTCTTGTTGTCACCTCCCTAGTACTGATGGATCTAAGCAAGAGTGTACTGGCAGGACTGCATCTGCTCTTGTTGTTACCTCCCTAGTACTATGGATCTAAGCAGAGTGTACTGGCAGGACTGCATCTGCTCTTGTTGTCACCTCCCTAGTACTGATGGATCTAAGCAAGAGTGTACTGGCAGGACTGCATCTGCTCTTGTTGTTACCCTCCCTAGTACTAATGG